GCCAATTCTACATTGTTAGCTATGGTGGCCAATGCTACATTGATAGCGATGGTGGCCAATACTACATTGTTAGCCATGGTGGCTAATTCTACATTGTTAGCGATGGTGACCAATGCTACATTGTTGGCCATTCTGGCTAATACTACATTATTAGCCATGGTGGCTAATACTACATTGTTAGCCATGGTGGCCAATATCACATTGTTAGCCATGGTGGCCAATACTACATTGTTAGCCATGGTGGCTAATGCTACATTGTTAGCCATGGTGGCCGATATTACATTGTTAGCCATGGTGGCCGATATTACATTGTTAGCCATGATGGCCGATACTACATTATTGGCCATTCTGGCCGATATTACATTGTTCACCATGGTGGCCGATATTACATTGTTAGCCATGGTGGCCAATACTACATTGTTGGCCATGGTGGCCAATGCTACATTATTAGCCATGGTGGCCAATGCTACATTATTATGCCATGGTGGCCAATGCTACATTGTTAGCCATGGTGGCCAATACTACATTATTAGCCATTGTGGCCAATACTACATTTATAGCCATTGTGGCCAATACTACATTTATAGCCATGGTGGCCAATACTACATTTATAGCCATTGTGGCCAATGCTACATTATTAGCCATTGTGGCCAATACTACATTGTTAGCTATGGTGGCCAATACTACATAGTTAGCCATGGTGGGCAATTCTACATTGTGTTAGCCATGGTGGGCAATACTACATTATTAGCCATGGTGGCCAATGCTACATTGTTAGCCATGGTGGCCAATACTACATTGTTAGCCATTGTGGCCAATACTACATTATTAGCCATGGTGGCCAATGCTACATTGTTTGCCATGGTGGCCAATGCTACATTGTTTCCCATGGTGGCCAATATTAATTGTTAGCCATGGTGGCCAATACTACATTGTTAGCCATGGTGGCCGATACTACATTGTTGGCCATTCTGGCTAATACTACATTGTTAGCCATTCTGGCTAATACTACATTGTTAGCCATTCTAGCCATGATGGTCAATACTGTACTGTGTTAGCCATGATGGTCAATACTGTACTGTGTTAGCCATGGTGGCCAATGCTACATTGTTAGCTGTGGTGGCCAATATTACATTGTTAGCGATGGTGGCCAATACTACATTGTTAGCCATGGTGGCTAATACTACATTGTTAGCGATGGTGGCAATGCTACATTGTTAGCGATGGTGGCAATGCTACATTGTTAGCTATGGTGCCAATGCTACATTGTTAGCCATGGTGGCTAATGCTACATTGTTAGCAATGGTGACTAATGCTACATTGTTAGCCATGGTGGCTAATGCTACATTGTTAGCGATGGTGACTAATACTACATTGTTAGCGATGGTGGCCAATATTACATTGTTAGCGATGGTGGCCAATACTACATTGTTAGCCATGGTGGCCAATACTACATTGTTAGCCATGGTGGCCAATGCTACATTGTTGGCGGTGGTGGCAATGCTACATTGTTAGCTATGGTGGCAATGCTACATTGTTAGCTATGGTGGCAATGCTACATTGTTAGCGATGGTGGCCAATATTACATTGTTAGCGATGGTGGCCAATATTACATTGTTAGCGATGGTGGCAATGCTACATTGTTAGCCATGATGGCCATTACTACATTGTTAGCGATGGTGGCAATGCTACATTGTTAGCCATGATGGCCAATACTACATTGTTAGCGATGGTGGCAATGCTACATTGTTAGCCATGATGGCAATGCTACATTGTTAGCGATGGTGGCAGTGCTTCATTGTTAGCCATGATGGCCATTACTACATTGTTAGCCATGGTGGCCGATACTACATTGTTAGCGATGGTGGCAATGCTACATTGTTAGCCATGATGGCCAATACTACATTGTTAGCCATGGTGGCCAATACTACATAGTTAGCGATGGTGGCAGTGCTTCATTGTTAGCCATGATGGCCAATACTACAGTGAATGCCATGTTGGCTAATGCTTATATGTGTTTCCAAGCCAATCATTATCTTGTTTTAATGTATAGCAGCTAGCAGATAATGATGATAATATCCGATTCATGCAGCAAATTGAACGGTTACCATTAAATTTCCACCACTAGTAATATTTGCTATTTCATATTTGAAAGAGTTTGTGTTACGAAGCTCAACAGTTTGCGAATGTCACTGTGACTGAAGAACTCCAGTGAAATGTTAATTGCTCCAATTTTTCCTGAATCACAAAACTAATTCACATAATTAAAACTGTTTATCATACATGTATACTGTATTATGTTAGCATTCATTTTATATTCAACAGTATGTTTTGCTGATGTGCAGTTTATCTTTCTGTGGGTGATAGCGTAGGGAGAAATTTGTAGGTCACAAAATATGGCCTTGGCATGGATCATTCCTCACTTACTTTTCTTTATTCAGTGATTCTGTTTAACCGTGTTCTTGTTATGTAAGGAAGCTGTCACCTGGCACTCACTGATATAATAGAAGAGCCGACAGTTCTTCCAGGCTACACCAGTGTTTCTGTGACAGATTGAAAGTAATCCTGCGTCACGTTGGAAACACAAATTTCACGCCATTCTTCCCGTAAATCTAATTTAATTAAAACCTTATTCTGTTGAAATTGACTGAATTTGGACATCTTTGAAACTGACAACCAGGTTGGATTAAACCATGCAGCCTGATAAGTCTGTTAGTGTTACAGCTTTGTTGAATCAACATTTT